AAAAAAAAAAATAAATAAATAAAATAAAATAAAATATTAACAAAAGATGAAGGTGATGAAAAACATTTAATGGACAACAATTTGTGGAGTTGCAGGTTAAAAGCACGCATACCTGTGGAAGTGCAGTGTTGAGCTGTCTCTGTAAGGAATCTCTTTCATGGCCAACCTCATGTAATTTCCCCTGGGTTAGTGCCAATGTTTCTTGAGTCTCTCTCAGTGTGTCAAGAAGACGGTCCCTTTCTTCTAGCATGGAGACCATCAACTGTTCAAAATGTGAATCTGCATCTGGCTGTGAAGGGGAGCTTGATCCATGGCTCCCGCTTCCTCCTGGGGGGCCTTCTGCTTCACTGATGGTCGGCATCACCTCGCACATCATCTTGAAACGAAAGACACAGGTTAGAGTCACTAAGTGTAGCATACAGTTACCTGCAACCTGCAACTTTCTATTTACCTGCAGCTAATAAAAGATCGGCACCTTAACTATTCTCAGATCTGTTATGCTTTCTTTGTAAATAAACTGGGGAAATATACACAGGGAAACGTTAAGTGTGAGAATACCCAACATGAACATGTTAATAAAGGTAAGACTCTGGTGAAGAGGTAAAGACCAAAGAGGTCTACTTACATAAAAAGCAAACCCTGGGGTACTTTGCAAAGTTGTACTTTTTAGTTGTTAGAAACAAGTGTGCTTCTGTTACCAAATTTTTCTATTTTCTGGTGGGGGAGAGAAAGTCAAAACACATGCCACCCAATCATTTTTCAGGAAAAGCACAGAAGGAGCATACAGCCAGTAAAACTGACAAGTACGAAATCCATCAGGCATCTTACAGGAATGTGTACAGTCAGCTCCTGAGAAGGACTGACGGCTCCCTGAATTCTTGGGCAGGATTTGTTGAGTACTAAAAGGAACTGGATTCATTAAGTGCTGGGAGAGCTGTTTTTCAATGGCTGCAACGGTTGGTCAGTCAACCTCACTTACGTAAGTTTACAGCTTTAAAAAAAAAAAAAAATTCCACAGTGGAAATACAGCAGGTATACAGCCCGAGATGGATAGGGAGGATGGAAAAGTGAAAGGTGAGATGATGAGAAGCTATTAAGTGTCTCAAATATAAAAACGAGAGAGGGGAAGGGGTCCTCTCCTGAGGCTTCCAGACAACATGCAGGGCCCGGTGGACCCCTCAAGAAGAAGATGCCCAAAACCGCGCACCTGTGTTAATTACTAGTCCAACCCACTTGCACCGCACTCCTTCCCCTCCCGCATCAGATGCTGCAGAAGCCCCCGCACCCCAGGGTACGAGAACTATTAATAATGGGCTCCGGCCCAGGCACGGGCTTCCAGCGGCCACAGTCCCCTCCCCTCACCCCAGCGCTGGGGTCACCAAGGCGCTGGAGTCAGGGAAGGGGGCGGCACCGAGCCCCGGGAGCCCGTCCCTCAGGAAGGACGGGCGACACAGGGGGTTCCACCCGGCGCCCGCAAACTCTTCCACGCTGGCCCGGCGCCGCGGGCCTCGCTCCCAGCCCCAGTCCGCCCGGGTGCGTACCCTTGCCCCGGACTGACACTCAATCGGCCACGCCGCCTCCGAGGGATCGGAGACGTGCCGGTGCCGGGGGCATCCTGGGCCCCGCTGTGCGCGGAGCCTGCCTCAGTCTCCCGCTCCCTTACCTTGCTCGCCGACGGCAGCGGGCGAGGAAGCTCCACGGGGGCTCGCGGGCGGCTGCTTGCTCCAGGAGAGCTCGAGGGCCGACAAAGGCAGCCCGCGGCCGGCGCCCGCCCGCCGCCCCACGCCGCGGCCCCGGGGCCCGCCGCCCCAGTCACTAAGGCCGGCCCGCGGCCGGACACTGGCGGAAAGGAGGAGGAGCGGGCCCAAGCGTCGCCGGCGTCAACGTGCCCGACGTCGGGCGCGTCGGCGCGAGCGTCAGCAAAGCCCCGGGGGAGGGGCCCAGAGAGAAAGCCGGGGCCTGAGCGCGCAAGCGCCGCCTCCTCAGGATGCAGGCCGGCGAGGGCTCTGGGGCTCTGATTGGCTAAGCGCGGGTATGGCCCTCTCCCGGGCCCCGCCCAGGTGCCCGCTTCGGGTGGGAGCTCAGGTTCTCGCCCCCGACTGCATCTTCTTCGTCTGGCTGACCCCAAATTTACTCCCATATTGTGGGGACACCAGAGGCCTCAATTGAGCATCTGCGGGGCCTCAGTTACAGAGCCACACTCTTCCGAGACGTCACTTCTACATAGCCCTCCCGAGCAGGAGGCGCTTTGATTCTCACCTTAGGGACGAGCGAGCCGAGGCTAAGTCACCTGCTTAGAGCCGGCACCGGAGCCCACTGCGTCTCCTCCCCAGTCCCCTCGGAACTCATCCCCTCAGGCTCGGAAGGACTCAGTTTCCTCGCAAGACCCATTCACTGAGCGCTGCCTGCCCCATCTGGGGAGGGAAAGATGAGCAGCGTTTGATTTGGGACTCAAAGGCGCGGTGGCTAGAATGCAACCAAGGTGCGGCTGCTTCAGCTCCTCGCTGTTGCTGTTACTGTGCAGCGTGGGCCTGGGTAACTCAGGAAACCCGCCTGGAATTCAGTGCCTGCGCTGTAGGAGAAGATCCTACATCGGTCTGCAGGGGTGTTTTAAGAAATAGAATGTACGTGAAAAGCAGCTAGTTGAGAATCTGACTGGGGAAGCACTCCAAGAATCGTGATCATTTTTAACCTTTCCGCAAACCTTTTTTAAACACCTGTGTGCCAAGTCCTGCGTTAGATGTTACACATACAGAGATTAAAAATTACACCTGTAATAAATTAAAGCAGATTCTCGCCCTCTCCCCCCAGGTTTTTGACTCCTGACGCACAAACCAAACTGCGAGGACATCATTTCTAGACACCACTGGACAATGTTCTGCTATTGATGAGGAGGCAGCCAGAAGCCTTTGAACTAATAAATTACTAGGAGAGGATGCAGATGGTGGTGCAGATGAACCTTTCAAGGTGAATTCCTTCATTTCCCATTGTGAGCTCACCCAGAACAAGCACTATTTCCCAATGACTTTCTTACCTACCAGGGTTGGTACACCTTTCCACTCATTCGTTCACTCGATAAATATTTATCAAGTGACCACGTAAAAATATGAATGTTCACCTCTGGCCCTAAGTTTTTTGCTAGTAAAGATGATCACTTGAGTTTACGAGGTGTTCTGCAGATACCATTTGTCCCTCCACACACCAGTAATTCTCACAAGTTCTCAATTTCCCTGATCCACGGTCTGGGATAAAGAACTTTTATACAATATATTCTTTATCTAAACGCAAATTGTTGTCTTTTTCAACTTTGGGCTCACTCTGTATGCTTGTTCATAACTTATTTTTTTTTTTGAGGTGTATAGTAGTGGTAGTTATACTAATATATGTGTTTGTCAAAATCCACAGAAAAGTACATTAATGAGTAAAATGTGCCCTCATTTTTAAATAGAAAAACATTTTTTATCTTTACCTGCTTAATTCATCCAGCCTGTATTTGCACCCTGCTGATAAAGTACTTGTTTCCTAGGAAATCAGCACAATACCAAAATTTAGTTCAACAGGGTAGAATGAACATTTGTGAAGCATGTATGAACTAGGTGTAACTTAGGTGCTGGGAACACAGAGCTGCCCATGACATGACTTCTGCCCTGAGTTTATAGCCTGGAGTAGGGAAGAGAGACTATTGTAATGTCTGTACAATTGACTCTCCAGCTGGCATCACGAGGGCTTCATGAAGGATGCAACATCTGAGCTGAGTATGGAGTGATGAAAAGTATCCCCAGCATAAAAGGGAAAAGCTCATCTCATATAGTTTCCAGAAAAATGAAAAGCCCAGATTTCAGTCATTCATTTCATTCCTCTAGATTACAAAATCAGTAAGAGGAAAATGGTAAACAAAACAGAAAAGATTACACTTCCAAAGGACAGAAAATCTGGTGACGTTCTCAGTGATAGGTTAGGTAATTACCTAATGACAGGTAAAATTCTATATCCCAATTATGATGGTAGTTGTGCTATTATTTGTGTTTGGCAAAACGTACTGAACTGTACATTAATATGTGAAGTATAATTAGCCAAGAGTGATGGCATAGACCTATGGTCCCAGCTACTTGAGCCAGGAGTTCGAGGTTGCTGCAAGCTATGATGCTGCCACTGTAACCCTGCTATAAAAAAAGTATGCAAAGTATTTGCTAGTTTTTATAAGTGGAAAAAAAAAATTCAAAAAGCCAAGTTACAAGTGCACTTAGCGTGAGCCCAAATTTGAAAAAAATAGTTTGCATTTAGGTAAAGACTATTATGTAAAATTATCTTATATATTAAAAGATCTGGAGTGTTATTAAGGTGATAACATTTTAGCAAAATGCACTTTATATGAAATGAAATATTTTTGAAAAGCAAAATTTAATTTTAACTCTCCAATTTGTAAAAGGGGCCAGGGATCACACCTGTAATCCTAGTACTCTGGGATGATCACTTAAGGTCAGGAGTTCAAGACCAACCTGAGCAAGAGTGAGACCCGCATCTCTACAAAAGATAGAAAAATTAGCCAGGCACAGTGGTACATGCCTGTAATCCTAGCAGTCTGGAAGGCTGAGGCAGGAGGATCACTTGAATCTGGGAGTATGAGGTTGCAGTGAGCTCTGATAACACCACTGTACTTTAGCCTGGGCCAACAGAGTGAAACCTTTTCTTAAAAGAAAAAAAATTGTAAAAAAAAAAATGTCTACACATGAAAATATTGTTACTATATTCAATTATCAGTATTTTTTCCTGGAAAGAGATATATAAGAATATTGCAGCTGGGCACAGTGACTCACACCTGTAATCCTAGCACTCTGGGGGGTCAAGATGGGTGGATTGCCTGAGCTCATGGGTTCGATACCAGCCTGAGCAAGAACAATCTCCCCCCTCCATCTCTACAAAATAGCCAGGTGTTGTAGCAGGCGCCTGTAGTCCCAGGTACTTGGGAGACTGAGGCAAGAGAATTGCTTGAGCCCAAGAATTAGAGGTTGCTATGAGCTATGATATCTCGGCACTCTATCCAGTCCAACAGAGTGAGTATCTGTCTCAAAAAAAGAATGTTGGCAGTAGTTATCATTGAATGGGACTGTGGTTAGAGTTTTTATTTCCTTCTTTGTGCTAATCTGTATTTTTCAGATACTTTATTATGAATATCATTATTTTTACCATTACCCCCCCACACACACACACACACAAATGTTACTTTAATTAAACCTGGAGAAGAAAGAACCATGGAGAATTACCGTCAGGAAGCTAAATGACTTTTAGATGTAATTGTCCATACCACCCAACTTTCAGAAATATTTATCTGAAAAGCATCTCAGAGTTTAGGTGCCATCCTTAGAAGATTCTGTCAGGAAACTAATGAAGATAGAAAATGTTTTCAGGGCTCGGCGCCTGTGGCTCAAGCGGCTAAGGCGCCAGCCATATACACCTAAGGTGGGGAGTTTGAATCCAGCTCAGACCTGCCAAACAACGATGGCTGCAACCAAAAAATAGCCGGGCGTTGTGGCAGGCGCCTG